CAAAAACTGGTCAGCTTTTTGTCAGCTAATTGTCAAATTATTTGACACGTATTTTTTATCAGTGTTTTTTATGCAACATGGAATGGCAAACAAATTGACGGTCCACTTGATGAAATGTGATAACAGTCGCCTATAGACATGAGCAGTACAATGAGCATAACAGAGTATACTGTCTCGCCCATAATACCCCCCATGCGTTGCCATTCCTGAGGACTGAGGTCTCTCTGTACTGTATCTGTCGTAGGAGGCGACTAAGGGAGCTCATAGTGGAGGGATGGGCAGCAGTATTCCTCTTAAAACATCTGTAAAAGCCTAACTGCAGTTGCCAACCCGCCTGCCAAGCGTGGCAACTATTGGCGATCCACACACACACATACATCCCCTTATGCGGAAGACTTATGTTCAACACTGGAAAGTTGACTGCTGAAAACGGCTGAAATCATAATAATAATAAACTTAATATTAGTTACATTTGAGATGCATATGAAACAAATAGTAAACTAGTGTAATCTGCAAGAATAAGTATTGACATTGTAATTATTACTAGATATATAGTTACATAAAATAGGACCTTAATTTTATCCTATCTCCACTTACTAATAATAAATTCTGTAATATCACCACACGAGTATATATTTTCACAGAGCCTAAACCGTATATAAACTCACTGTAAGTACCTACACTCACACATAGCTGGATAACCTTCTTTATTTTCTGCTGCTACAGATAACATAATAGCTATATTTCATACGTAATAGCATTGTGCAGCATTGTGCAGTAATCAATTTTATTGTACACAATTTTGAGTGTAATGAAATATTTGGACTCAATATTAGTCTAATAATACGAGTAATTGAATTTTTGTCACAAACAAATTAATTTTTTGCTGAAACAGTAACATATGAATTTGGTTTTAGTGACCGTATTTTTTTATTGGATCAAAATGGAGTGGTAACCCCGCCTGCACTAATGGGATACGCTGGCGAGGCACCAGTGAAGGGTGATCGATGAAGATGAAAACAAGCCAGTTAGCCCATCATGATGAATTTATCAGGAATTAATCATGATAGTTTCCAGGGGGAACCGCGAGGAGGTCGACCTGGTTGGGTATATTGCTAGCAATGGGATTCTTAGTTTCCATTACTAACAAACCCTTTACCCCCTTAGTGACCGTATTATCCATACTATATTATAACCTACGGATTATACGTAGTTTTAATTGAGCCACGTGTAGAGGGGAAAGGGATTGTTAGTAATGGGGTAAAATAATCCCATTACTAGCAATATACCTTATCAGGTCGACCTCCACGTGGTTCCCCCTGGAAACTATCATGATTAATTCTAGTTGAATTCGTCAGGATAGGATAACTGACCTGTATTCATCCTCACCTGTCATCTTTCACTGTTGCTCCGCCATTACCATTCGATTCCATTATCATCCATTAAAAAGAAAAAAAAATTGAGTCACGTGTAAAATAGTCCTTACTAATGTAGAGCGTTCATAAGTAGTAATATGAGAGGTCACGGACACGACAATACACAGTGTGAGTACCTACAGCGAGCCGCTTGTACGTATATTGGACTCTGTGATACTTAATCATCGTTAAACTCTGTTGAACAAACATTGCGAGACGGGGTAATAACACGATACCACAAGACGCTTTATAGTTGGGTAAATTTCATTTGAATCATATAAATTTAATAAATATATATACATGATATTGAATTATCGTATTTCATAAATGTGGTCGTATTACAAGTCGTCCATTTGTGCTGTAAATATTTTAATTCCAAAACACCACCCTTAACTTGTAATGTTACGAATACTTAATTATTTTGTGGATAATAGAAGCAATTCAAAGGGTGCTAAAATGGCCACTTTCGGTGTTTCATAATAGGTTGTTATTATATTAACTCTGTTATTTCTAAAATGACAAAATGGCCCTTTTATTTGTAGTATAATTTACAATTTAAATATAATACAAGAGCATGCAGACGTGAAATTTAGAGGAATTTAGTATTCGATTGTTGATTTTACTTAATGGTTTAAATGTTATTTTGTGGAACTAGGATTCTGGTTATTGTGAGTTTTAAAAATATTTTTATTATATATAAAGATATTTTTTCTGTTTCTTTATAGAATAGATGATATTTAAACAATATTTAAATTGAATTCCACAAAAATGTCTTAAGTTGTATCGAAACCAATTAATTCGATTTAAAAACTAAACCACTAAGCCGATTTTGATAAAATATCTAAGGGACCAATCTATAAATTTCAGATAAAAGAAGAATTTCACAAATCGGTTTACAACTGACAGAGTTATGAGGTGACACACTTAAAAAAAATACAACCTCCTTCTTTTTGAAGTAGGTTGAAAAGAAAGTAGAAAAATGTCATTTCACTGAAGAAGTTATTTCACGGAATACCATATCACTAGTTAGCCAATTAGAATTATTTTGTTTAATTCCGCTACCATTAGTATTAGTGCAACTGCCAACATTTGAGAATTGACTACTATTATTATTCTGTCCTTTTCAATAATCCCTGAACTTTTTATGCAACTTAGAATGTCAAACAAGTTCGCAGCCCACCTGATGGAAAGTGCTAGTCGTCGCCTATAGACATGAGCAGCACCATGGACATTACAGAGTATACATATATACTTTATTCAGTCTACGCACATGTTACAATACGTATTTCGTCTCTAAACGAGCATTAAGCGACTATTAAATAGCTGATCGGAGCCTAGTGTTGATTGTTCAGAGCCCAGACTGCCAATCTGGACAGAATTCTGCAGTGTGATCACCGTCAAACTAATGATAGCGGAATTAAACAAAATAATTCTGATCAACTAAACAGAAACGCATTACTTTTATTTCATAGATAAAGCTCGTAATGAAGTCTGTGCTTGCGTCTTTTATTCATGACTGCGGGTTCCGAATGACTTCGAAATTTAGTTTAACATTTTGACAAAAAATACAAGTCAACCTTTTTTTATGCAACTTTGATTAGCAAACAAGCTGACAACCCACCTGATGGAAAGTGGTAACCGTGGCCTATAGACATGAGCAGTACCATGGATATAACAGAGTATACTGTTTCGCTCATGATACCTCCCATGTGTTGTCATTCCTGAGGACTCGGGCGTTATTCCTCTGTACCCTGTAAGTTCAGTGCCATATCCCATCCTTCAAACTGAAACACAGCCATGCACACACACAACTGCTTCACAGTAGAAACACGATGGGACAGAGGTGCCCAACCAAACGACTTTTGTACAAAGTCTCCCTCTGGTGAGTGGTTCCAATCTGTTAAAATATCATATGTTCTTAAGAAGTTTCGAACAATAATATCATATTAGATATTGGGGAACATAAAATCTTTCCAATAAAGTTGAGTAATAAATTAAATGAAGTAAAATTATATATATTTATCACTGCTAAAGTTATAACGTCAAGTTATACGTGACCTACTTAGAACTCGAACACAATCCGTTTGCAAACAAGAGATGCAGACTCACGTACTGTGCTCAAACGTACTGTAAAATATTATCTGGATGACTAGGATAGTGCTGGTACCACACATATAAAATACTATTAGAAGAGCCAGTAAACTAACATCAAACATTGAATGAGCTTAATGGTCGAGGGATGGGCAGCAGTCTCTTTTAAACATCACTAAACCTAACCACGGTTGGCAAGGGGGAAAAGGGATTGTTAGTAATGGGGACTGATAAACCCATTGCTAGCAATATACCCAACCAGGTCGACCTCCTCGCGGTTCCCCCTGGAAGCTATCATGGTTAATTCCTGATGAATTCATCATGATGGGCTAACTGGACATTTTCATTTCATTTCATTCTCATCTATCACCCTTCACTGGTGCTTTGCCAGCGTATCCCATTAGCGCAGGCGACGTTAACATTCCATTTTCATCCAAAAAAAACCACGGTTGGCAATTCGTTTGATAAGCGTGACAACTACAGATGGGCAAAGCACCGGGTTTAAACCCGGTGCTTTGGTAAAAACCCAATAAACACCCATAAACTCCCATAATCACCCAAAAAAATAGGTTTTTACGTATTTTTTTGAAAATATGTAAGTAATACCAATAAATTATTTTTATAAATTGTATTGATCAATTCTACAATATTAAATAAAACGTTAACTAATAATATTTCAGGAAATTTTAAAAATCTATATATAATAAAATGAAAGTAATTAATTTTCAGTGTTTTCATGTTGCAGTTGATCAACATGTTGGCCTTTTGCTTCCCGTAGATACTTTAAAATTTCTTCATAACACCTCGTTCGCACACATGGCCGTATATATTTAAATTCTTGAGCCACTAACAGTCCGAAATACTCATTTCTTTTATCCTCTTCTCCATAAATTAAGCATTTAGAACAGTTTGTTTCTTCTTTCAGTAAATTTTCTTTTACTTTATCCTCGTTTTTTTCTTTGTTGCGACGACGCTGGGTAAATCATCTGGACACTGGGTCTCACTATCGCCAAATATATTTGGAGATCGGCTTCGGCTACGGCTTGGCAGACATTTTTTTCTTTCTACAATTTTAAATTAAATTTATTAGAATAAATGCTTCGAACACACGCGATCTAAGTACCTTTTGTGTTTATTATACCTTACCTACCTAGGTATAAAAAGAGTACTTACGTAGATTTTCTTTTATTAACTGTTTTATACGAAGATCTTGATCTCTCAAATTAGCATCCATTTTACTTCCAGTGATTATCAACTAAATTAATAATCCACAAAGTATTAAATAACGTTTTTATGAAATATTTAGCACAAAAACAATACCCTTTAAATATCGATCGTCAGTAACTGTGGCTGACTTACCTATATTCTAGCAAGCAGGACTGCCAGATGTGAAGGGGAAATCCCCAATAAATTGTTGCATGTGACTGATGATGTGAGCATGTTCGTTTCATAATAAAAATGTTGCCAGGTAACCAAAAAGTCGTATATTTTTGTGCGAATTACGATCATAATCTTTACGATCGTACATTAAAAAATAGACAAATAATAGTATGAGTACGATTTAAATCGTATATCTGTCAACCCTGCTAGCAAGACAGCGACAAAATCACGTTGCATAACAATGTAGCCCAAGCTTATATCTTATGAAATATACGGAAGAGATACGGACTTAGAAAAAACAGAAATGTTGTTCTTTGTGGAAGTCATTGATGAAATTCTATGTATTTTAGCCCGCAAACTTTCTTCAAACAAAAACAGCGCCATCTAGTATCGAGTTCTGTAATTATCTCTTTGTTTATGGATTTGAAGTAAGACCGCCACGCATGCAATACATTATGACTGGGGATTCCCCTATTCGTCGACGCTGAATATGAGGCGACGACAATCACTGTCAAACGTGTTCACTATTACTCTGACTCTGGTAACGTGACTTCCTGGTAACGTGTTAGGTAGGAAAAGCAGTAAAAAAGTGCATATTAAGGGAGCAGATTTGAAATAATATTTATACTTAACAAGAAATAATTAAAGGTAAGTGGATTTTTGAATGATACAATTATATCATGATCACTTAACAATTTTAACTTAAAATTAGATGTATTATTACAAGCTTTTATTTAGCTTGCGTTATGTAAATAAAAGTATGTAGGTATGTTCGTATGTTGATGCAATTATCCTCAATCCTCAACCGACTGGGATAAAATTTTCCATACACGTTTATTTTGGATGATAGTGCATAGTTAGCTGAGAGTCGTCATTGGATAATAATGGTGGATAGCCTAAGATGTGTACTAGATATTTATTTTTAACATAATATGCGTAAGTACCTAATCGAATTAAAGAAGTTGCTGAGAAAAATACAGAACAATACGATAATAAACTAGCGTCTGCGTTTAATCCTCCGAGGAGATGTAATTTTACAAAGGTTTTTTGTATTTATTTTATTATTTTTTTAATAAATTTATTGTAAATAACAAGAAATAATCATTGTAAAAAAATAGGCACTCTATTGTTGAATTTTCGTCAGACCAACTAATCATCGTTCATTTTTTTAGGTTCAATGGGGAGACCTAAAGATTTACGCATATGGGAGCACTACCGTACTTTACCAAACAAGTCTGTTTCTTGCAAGCTTTGTAATAAGGTCTACAAATTCAGTAATGCTGCCAAAATGCTTCAACATCTTATCACTTGTCCAAAATCTCCAGAAACATTAAAAGACTCTATGAAACTTATAAAAGATAGCTCGTCCAAAACCAAAATGTCTGGACTGTCAGAGATAGAGACAAATGATTCTTTTATAAGCCCCTCGTCGTCTGCTAACACTACAATAAATGCTGAGTTTCAAGACACCGATGATCATATAAAAACAGAATTAGCGAGAGCTATATTTGTAACAGGGACGCCATTATCGATGGTGCAACATCCTTTATGGATACAATTTTTCGAAAAATTGCAACCAAAATTTAAAATACCTTCACGTAAAGCTTTAGCGACAAAATACTTAGATAAAATATATAGAGAAATGCGTTTTGAGTTAAATGAGGAACTAAATGCTTGTAGTTACTTACACCTTCAGTGCGATGGCTGGTCTAATTTAAGAAATGAAGGAATAATAAACTTTCTTATATCAAAACCTCAACCTGCATACGTTAAAAGTTTGAATACAGAAAGTAATCCTCACACTAGTGAATACCTTAGCCAAGAAGTTGAAAAAGTAATGAAAGTGTATGGAGCAAATAAGTTTCTTGTACTTATTGGCGATAACGCTAGAAATATACAAAAGGCATTCGAATTAACAAAACTCAAATATCCACATGTTGTTCCTCTCGGTTGCTGTGCACATATCCTTAACTTGTTGTGCCAAGATATTGTAAAGATACAAGAAGTAACTGTGTTTATTATGCAAGCCATAAATATAATAAAAACTGTTAAAAGGAGTCAACGATTAAGTTCCTTGTTGATAAAATCAAGGCAGGGTGAAGATTCTACACAAACACTAAAATTGCCTTGTGCTACAAGATGGGGAAGTCATGTTACTTCGTTAAAAAGTTTGAAAGCAAATAAGATAGCTTTGCAAATATTAACAGTTAGAGAAGATGTGGTAATTTCAAGAGATATTAAAGATTTAATTCTAAGTGATGATTTCTGGACGAAGACAGGGGAATGTATAAGTATTTTGGAACCAGTCACTGAAAGCATATTTTACTTAGAGAGCGACCAGAATCGTTTGCATCGCACATACATTACATTTAGAGATGTACAAGCTAAGATACGTTTTGCATTAAATGAGATTTCGACATTGAGCGAAGAAAGCAAACAGCAGATTCTAACATCAGTATCTTCAAGATGCAATATGGCAATGAGGCCAATACATTTTGCAGCATATATTCTAGACCCCAGGACTCTAGGAGTCGAACTTACTCAAGAGGAAGAACTTAAGGGTATGGAGTTTATCTACAATTTAAGCCAACACTTAAGTTTGTCAAATGTAATGGCAGATTTGGCGTGTTATAAAGCTAAAGAAAACTTTTGGGCCAGAGGATTTGTATGGAGCTCATTAGATAGCATTGAGCCCCTAATATGGTGGAAAGGTATTTGTGGTTCCACTGAGTTAAGCAAAGTAGCGATTCGTATTCTATCAGCTCCCTGTACTTCGGCAGCCACTGAGCGTTCCTTTAGTATCCAAGGCTACATACATAATAACAAAAGAAATCGACTTACAACTGAAAGAACTGAAAAAATTTCATTCATTTGTTATAACTGGAATCTTAAACATAAAGCTGAATGCGAGGACATTCAGTTTAATGAAGAAAATACCTTAGAAGCTTTCATTGAGCAAGTAAATGAACATAACAGTTTAGACGAAATAGAGCCTATCGAACCTATACAATTCATCGCTTGTAATAACTCTGAATCTGACAGTGATTGACTGTAGTTTTACATTTTACTTTCATCTCTTTCTTAATAAACTCAAAATCAAATTAAAAGTTTTTTATTCTGTAGGCTGCATAATAATATTGTCTATGTCCAGTATAGTGGACGTCTTGCGGCTGAGATGACGATGATGAAGTACAAAATCATAAACACCCAAAAATTTGGGTGTTTATGGGGTTTAAACCCAATAAACCCAAAACACCCGGTTTTTACCCACCAGACTTTAAACCCACCCAGGTGGATTGCCCATCTCTAGTGACAACTACTAACAAAATCCCCATTATGGGGAAGGCTATATTCTGCAGTGGACAATTAATTGGCTGATATGGTATAGTAAGCATTAAGTGTATAATATATTAAATAAATAAATTAAAACAGATACATTTTGCTTTAAAAAAAAATACCGTGAGTTCAATCGAAATAAACCTAAGATTAAATAAGTACGTCGTTACGTTTTGGTATATCTCATATTTTTTTAATTTTAATTGATTAAAAATACATATGTTGCAAACTCTAAAGTAACGCTTAAAACTAGAATTAGATTATATTTATTTACAAAATAGTACATTTTACAATTATAGATAATTATTTATTATTTATGTATATATTTATTATTTTTATACAAATATTTATTACATATTTGCATGATATGTAAACACTCTATATTGTTTTTCCTGTTTATTTGCACATTACGTTGAATCATCAATTATATTTTCTGTTATTCCTGCCTACGGTCGACTGGTAGACAACGCCATATTGTGTTATTTCTCTATTTATACTGTTTAGGTGTATTGAAGTTTAATAAACGAGTAAAAGTTTCTAGAACTACAGTACACTGGCAAAAAAGTAACGATTTAAATAAGTCTTAACACAAAGTTTATTCTGCTTTTGAATTTATATCGGTTAGCCGAATCCATCAAACTCGCAGTTAGTACTCACTACTTGAAAATTCCGTTTGAACTCTGTTAAAATGACTATTCCATTGATTCCTATCTGCAGTTGGAATAGAGTTAGAACTACTTTTCCTTTACAGCATAGGTAAGCCACTATAGGGTCATAATTTGAAATATGATCGGTACGTAACCGGTTTTTAGAACTGTGACCTTAATGCTGTAAAAATGTGAGCTTCATAGCTATGAGCTATAATGTTAAACCACATACAGCTGTATGTGGTTTAACATTAAAAAACGGAGTAAATAGTGGAATTAGACATAAAAAGGAAAGCGGTAGAATTAAAGATAAAAGAGAAGTGCGATTTGAAAGATAGTGTACTAATAAGGTTTAAAAATGGAATATTGAGTTGGTTATGTTAATTGAAAAGAACGGATCAAATAAGAATGACGAAAAAAAAATCAATAAAAATGTAACCAAGAATAAATATAAATGTTGATAGCCGCCATCTTGAAATAGAGTATGTTTTTTTATGCAACTTAGAATGATAAAAAAGCTGACAACCTACCTGAAAGAAAGTGTGTAACCGTCGCCTACAGGCATGAACAGTACACGGACGGACAGAGTCACTGTATCGTCCATGATACCCTACATACGTTGCCATTTCTCAGGTCTGAAGTGTGTCCCTCTTAGAACATCACCAAAACCTAACTGCGGTTGCCAATACGCCTGCTAAGCATTATTATATTAACTGTGATTGTGGTGGTCAATCTTCGAGTGTTGGCAGTCGCACACATACTAATGGTAGCGGAATTAAACAAAATAATTCTAATCAAATAACCAATGTTATTTGACTAGGGTTATCTTGCGGACTTCCGCAATATATTGATATTTTTTTTGCAAATCCAATTGATAATTCTAGATATTAACGTTTTTAAACTAACAAAGTTTTCTGTATCATTACATGTATTAGTATAGATTTAGAGGAGGTGAAATAACGTGAAATAAAATTAGATAATTTTGCGTGGCTCATTAATATATTAATTACATAACTTCAAGTACGTTCCCAATTTTGGTCACCAATTTACCAATATTTCAATACTCGAATTAGCTACTTCTAAGAATATATTATTTATGACAAATAAGTTTTCGATTTACTTGAGCTATGTATTTGGCAAACTTTCACTTCAGCTTGCAGATCCTTCGAATCGATCAGTATATATATACTTTTACTTCTTTTACGGTTATCTACTTATCGGATTCTAATATTATTATTTCTTCTAATTGTTTATATTTATAATAAGTTTACTATTGCAATCTTTTTGAGGAAACTATAAAAAATATCTGTCTTTCTATCTATGCAATGATATTTTCTAGTATGGTTTTATCCTATAGCTATATTTAAGGGAGTGAAGCATGCCCACCTCAGATTTGTCTGTTATCCACCCCTGTATGTGAGTATCTGAGAATACATGTTTAAGGGACCAAGCCCACTCCTTAAAACGCCATCTCTCTTCAGAGCTCACTAAGGACCTCATAATATACTTTGTACTAAATATTAATTGACAATTAATAAATCTCTCTTATACAAAATTATCCATAGAAAATACGGGCAATTTGATTTATATACAATAAATTCAATGGGGCCAATTAAAAAAGGTCTCCTTACGCAATTTGGCCTATTCACAAAGAGGATGTTTAATGACCTGCATTCAATACAGGACCCATTAATTTAAATGATAATATTTATTGAATTTTCAAATAATTAGACATTCTAAGTTGGGGAGGGAGACTTTGTACAAAAGTCGTTTGCTTGTCTACCTCTGTTCCATTCGTGTTTCTACCGTGAAGCAATTGTGTTTGCATGGCTGTGTTTCGGTTTGAAGGGTGGGATATGGCGTGAATTTACAGGGTACAGAGGAATAACACCTGAGTCTTCAGGAATGGCAACGCTTGGGGGATATCATGGGCGAAACAGTATACTCTGTTATGTCCATGGTACTCATGTCTATAGGCGACGGTTACCGCTCTCCATCAGGTGGGCCACCAGCTTGTTTGCCATTATAATTTGTATAAAAAAAGTTATCACTTATTCTTTTTTTATTCAATTACTAATGATATTCACGTGTTGCAAGAAGTCGATGGAGGTAATTGAAAAATTTTATAAATGTTTCCTCCCATGAACACTCAGGTTGTGGAATGAGCTCCCTGCCGAGGTTCTCTCAAGAGACTACAGCATGGGGTTCTGCAAAAGGGGAGTAAAGAGGTTTCTTCAGGATCGGCAACGCACGTACCTTTGGTATTGTTGGTGTTCATAGGCTACGGTAACCACTTACCATCAGGTGGGACGTATGCTTGTTTGCCAGCTCAGTGGTATAAAAAAAATCAATATTATTTCTAATTAAGTACTTATGCACGTATTTTTTTCTACTTACCATCTAGTCTTCGCCGTGTGTGCCCTGGCATAGAATGGGTTACCCCCTTCGTTTCCATGTCGTAAGAGGCGACTAACGGAGAGCGAATTAAAATCTAGTACATATTTTATCCTGACATCAGATGTCATTTAGAAATATACATTTACTTCCATAATCCACGCAAACGAAGTTGCAGGCAATAATTAGTATAATATTTGTTTTAAGTTGTAATGTTCTAGTTAATCGATCTACTAAAATTTCAAATTATCCCTCATTGTTATTCCCGCACACAATTACAAGGAGGGGAGTCACTTTATATTGTGCTTCAAGCTATTCCTATAATCCTTTCTGATTAAATTCCTTGTGGGCTCTGAAAGGGCAATAGAATTTTGCTTGACTTCTCATTACCAATTGCGGTATGCCGCTATTAACCAGGATTAACAATGGACAAGTAATATTGTTCTATGAAATTCTTGGCATCTTTTTTATCCTAACATTGGTCAAAGGACATTATTGAAATAAAATTAAAATGGTTGTTCACTAAACTTAATTTACCAAAGGGAGTTTTTTTACAAAAGTCGTTCGCTTGGGCACCTCTTTTCTATTCGTGTTTCTACCGTGAAGCAGTTGTGTGTGTATGGCTGTGTTTCAGTTTGATGGGTGGGATATGACAGTGAATTTACAAGGTGCAGAGAAATAATAGCTGAGTACTCAGGAATGGCAATACATGAGGGGTATCATGAGTGAAATAGTACACTCTGTTATGTCCATGGTACTGCTCATGTCTATAGGCGATGATTAACACTTTCCATCAGGTGGGTCATCAGCTTGTTTGCCATTCTAAGTAGCATAAAAAAAAGACAATAAATAGATATCATATAATCGAGACTTGTTATTATTGTTGAATATTTTGTAATTAAAAATAATTATTTTTACAACACAGGGGGCAAACGAGCATGCTGCTCACCTGATGGTAAGTAACTACCGCCACATATGATCACCTACAACACCAATGGCATTGCAGGTGTGCTGCCGGCCTTTTAAAAAGGAATATGCTCTTTTCTTGAAGATCACGATGTCGTATTTGAAGTAAAATTTCTAAATTGACGAGTGATTTTTATTATTAAATATGACTGTAAAGCGACAGATAGTACGCGATCTTTTCCTGAATCCTGTGATTTATATATATATATATATATATATATATATATATATATATATATATATATATATATATATATATATATTTTTTTTATACCTTTACATTTAGTAATTTATCTTTACTGCTATTATAAATGTGAAAGTCAGATTGTTTATTAATTTTAGTTTAAACAGATTCTTAACGGCTTAACAATTCACTATGAAATTTGGTAAACATGTACTATATGGAATGGATAAATTTATATTCTATTTTCTATCCTGTAAACATATCCGGTACAGAACTCGCGGGTAAAAGCTAGTCTTAATATTTATTTATGTATAGGATCACCAACATAAGATACAGCGATATTACATGAAAAAAAATATACAACTATATATGTATAATTAGAATGGTCTGTAAAATTTGTGGGAGATTGAACCCTAAACTAGATCAGAGATCTGTATCTCAGGAATCCAGGCCCCCAACTCGGACACCATGTACAGTACGAAGTATTTCAATACAATACACTGGTGGATTAGATCTAACCATTCCTACATTTAGAGGCAACCATAGCATACTTGGTGTTTGGAATTAAATTATTAAATGTCATTAAATGAAGAAAGAATTTAAACTGTGGTAAACGGTGTTGGTGATAAATTTACTCAATGTTTTCTTTGATTAATATTATGTATTATTCTTTATTTTGCAACTGTTAGTTTTTCCAAATAAATGAAAAAAAAGACATTAAGATAAATAAAATACATATAAATAAATATAAATAAAAACAGATCATTTATTAATA